GATCATGCATGTTTCATCGTTTTGATTTTCTAATTCATGTGCGTTTAAGAGATTTTTAAAGTGCAATTTTGGTTCCCTTTGTTTAGACATTGTATGGATAACATTCTCAAAAGTTCAAAAAATTATTAAAGCTTCCTTATTAAAGCTTTACCTAAATTTTGTCATTTCTTCTTCTTTTATTGATTGCATTAGTCCAATCCTACGTAGAACATTATTGTCACAAACATCTTGATTTACATGCAGCAAACTAATTAATCATGTCATGTTATCATCTGCTTATAAAAAACCTAATAAGGATTACAATAACTGCTCAAAATGAAGCAATTTGAAAATCTGGAGGTGATTTTTGTTGTGTTGGATGTTCAATTATTCCTTGATGTTTTGATGGTGCTGGATTGGAGATGGTGGTGATTTTGGGTCTTCCCAAAATGAGTAGACATGGATTTGAAACTGAAAATCTGGAGGTGATGACCTTTGTTGTATCGGCTGCTCGATCGTTCCTTGATGTTTTGATGGCGCTGGATTTGGAGAAGGTGGTGATTTAGGGGTCTTTCCGAAATTAGTAAGCATAGTAATTAAACTATTGCATGGACTCCCCTCTGCACAAGAAAAAAAATACTCCAGCCGAGGAATTGGTGTTTCTGGCTTTGGAGATGGATAATTGGTCGTTACTTGTTGAGTTGGTGGTGATGACTTTGGAGATGGCGGCGAAGGAGTGACCTTTCCTTCAATTGTAGATTGTGCCATGTGGTCGCAGTCAGTATTCCCTGTTATTTCCCTGGTTTCTATTGAGCTACTTCTCCCAACATTATTGACCATTATGATCACCATGAACTTGTTGGGTGAATTTTCTGCAGAAATCAAAAAAAAAAAAAAAAGGGAGCTAGTCTCAGATAAAGTAAACAAAAAATATGGTATTCCTCGTATTAATGATTATATTAAATGATGAACTTCAAATACTCGGAGCAAGTTCCATGAATCTTGAAAATTAGGATTAACACCTGCATTTTTTTAATATAAAAAACCACCATTTAAAAATAAAAAAATACACTATAAATATTGAAATTTAAATCATACTTTTTGAATAAAATAATTTTTAAAAATTATTTATAAATTAATTGAATTAAATTCTAAATTCTAACACATACATGGCTTAGCATAGTTGTAATACCTGGCGGTAATAGTCTTGCCACAGCAGCAGTTGCAAGAAGACCCAGAATTGCAGAAAAAGTAAGAAGAGAACTGGTGATGATAATTGAAGTTGCCATGTTAAACCTCAATTATCGATATAAAGTTGGAAAGCCATTAATGCCCAATTTATAGACAAACTTAAAAAGCTCCTTTTGTTCCTGCATTTATTAGACATGTCGCAAAAGTCTTGTCAAACATGGGTCAAGGAACTTGGGCTGGTCTTACGGGGAAATGAGACTCTGTCAAACACCAAACCATCTGCCGCAAATCCAAAGACTGCTTAAATTTTAGTGCATATAATTTTTTTTTTAAATAAATGAAAAGTTTTGTCTTAAAGCTAAAAAACAAATCTCCAACGACGGCTTGATTTGGTCTAGTATATACTACTGCTACTACATATTGTTCGTGTTGACTACACAAATATTCTTATAGGAGCGCGTTGACCCCATATAATAAAGTACTTTATTTCTATTACTAGCATTATCATTTACACGTGCAGAACTTTGCGCTGCGTTCAACATTCTCAAATTCAGACTTTTTTTTGTTGTTATTATTTTAACTATGCTTTGAATGGGTAATAAATTAGGATTCTATTTAATAATTATATTTTTTTAGTTTGATTCAAAAATAATAGAAAAGTATTTGATGAAAAATATTTTGTGAGAAAATAAAGAAACATTTTAATTAAAAATTGTTTATATTTTACAAATCATTGAATTTAAGTGAAATGATAGGCACATGAAAGTTAGAAAATGTTATTATATCAATTCAATCTTTTTCATATTTTAGCAATTAATGATATACAAATAAATCTTTGAAATTATAAGGAGTATAAATCAACTTCATTTGAAATTTTTTTTTTATATTTTACTAATTGCTTAATTTAATGAAAATGATAGGAAGATGAAAAATAAAAATTTTTTTTATAAATTAATTAAATTGTCATATTCACTTTATGATCATTTAATGATTTATTTGTGACTTTTGATCTTTCTCATTTTATTTATGCATATGGCAGTGAAATGAATTTCATTTTTATTTTTTTAGGCTTTATAGTATTGCAATAGTTAAATACGAGATTAGTTTATCTTTTCTATTTTTTATTAGAGTATATGATTTTATTTTTATTTTATGTTTCTTTTATATGTTTTCTTAAAATTTTTTTGTTTTTTATTTTTTATTTTTATTCCAATAAAAGCATCAGTAAATTGTTTTTGAAAAAAAAAACTAAAATTTTAAAAAACTATTATATATATATATATATATATATATATTCCTCATTTGAAGCTTACGGAAACACTTTAATATGCAAAAAAAAAAAAAATTGAATTTCCGAAAAGGCTTTTGCAAATATATATATATATATATATATGTATGTATGTATAAGGAGAGAGAACATTTTTTTTAATTTTACATTTTTTTTAACATTTATTTTAATAAAATCCACATAATAAGAAAGATAAGTAAAAATATATTAAAAAAAATAGTTTAATCATATCCCTTATATCTATTAAAATTAATGATTAAAAATATATGTAAAATAAAAAAAATTATTCTATATAAGTTGATTTCTCTCTCTCTTTCCAGATATATATTATATATATATATATATATATATATATATATAGAATATAGAAAATGGGATTAAGACGATTCCCTTATCTAACTAATCAAAGAAAGAATGAGGAGAGAGAGAGCTACGGAGGAGAGAGTGGAACATTAATAGCAAGGAACAACAACAGTCAAGACACTGGGATAGCAGGAGATTCAGATACGAAGATGATGGATGGAAGAGAAAGCTAGTATCTATCTCGTGGATAACATTCATCCTATTGGCAGAGAAGGAGAACTGAGGGAACTGATACTGCAGTATGAAAGGGTGTTAGATTACTACATTCCCTTACACAGAAAGCAGACAAGGCATAGCAAGTTCGGTTTTTTCAGGTTCAAAAATCTGAGAGAAGTGTTGGCAGTAATCAGGGCACTAAATGGCACCATATGGCATGGATGGAGACTGATAGTAAATCTAGCTAAGTACGAAAGGGGAGCAAGAAACAATGCAGGCACCAAAGTAGCAAGCAAACATGGCAGATGGAAAAGTGCTGCTCCGAATCAGTCCAGCTCGGGGAAGAATAAGCCTCCTTACGCTGAAATAGTCAAAGCAACATCCGCAGAAACAATGAGACAGAAAGCATCAAAGAGAGAGAAGGGAGACTTGAAGATAAGGACAAAGAAGGTACTGATGTAGAGACAAGAACAAAAAATACAGTGGTTTCTGAATGAAAATGGAAAACCTAGAAAAGAAATAGCTTGAAGGTGCGCGGTGGCAAAGGTTAAAAACCCACAGCCAATACATTTCCTTCAATAACAAATCTTCAGCCAAGGGGTCATGCACTTCTCTGTAACTTTCATGAGAGGCAGTATGGTGTTATTACAGATTGAGACAAAGGAAGAAATGATGGGGATGCTTGAAGATGGAAAGGTGTGGCTGAGTGAGTGGTTTTTCTAGACCAAGCCATGGAATGCAGAGATAACGTCGAGGGACAGATTTGTTTGAATTAGGATTGAACACATTCCACTGCATTCATGGAATTACGACCTATTCAGCAGAATTGGAAACCAATGAGGATCTTTCATTTCTATCGATGATAGTACAATGAGGAAAAGGAGAGTGGATGTGGCAAGAGTGTTAGCTCACATCAGTATAGATTTTCAACCTCCAAGTTCTATCCAGTTAGTGATAAACAGGAAACCATATCATCTTAAAGTAACATTAGAAGATGGGTCAGGATTCTTTTGGAACACAAGGGTGAAACAAATTAACAAAAGTACTTCAACACCATCAGCTTCCTCAAGCTCAAGTTCAGAAAAGGATCCCAACAATGCAGCAACGATGAGGAGGAGAAAGCGAAAAGGCGGGTATGGAAAACAGTGTTGCACGAGACAGTTGGGTGATTTGGAAAGAGGATATACAGCTGGAGGAATTTCATGTCAGCCGTAATTTTCAAATTGGAAGCAAACTCAAAATGAGGTGGATTAATTCTGGAAAACAAGAATACAAACACAATTGATAACACAGAAAGACAAGTATGAGCCGATGACATTTGGGCTATAGAAGAAACTTGGCTGTCAAGGAGTTGACAGTGGAAATGGGACAAAGCCTAATCTATATAAGACATGACTAGGATGTAATCGATCGAGTTTGAGTCGATATAGCATTAAATTTGAGTTCGAGTTCAATTCAAAATTTGATGTTCGAAACTCTGTTCGAACTCGATTGAAGAATTCGATTGAATTTTATTTTTTTAACTCGAACTCGATTTGAGATAAAAATTGAGTTATTCAAGCTTACTCGATTAGGCTCGATTAACATATAAAAATAAGTTCGATTCTTATATTTAATAAAAACTTAATTATTTATGCTCGAACTCGAGCTTATGTTCGAGATATTTATTAATTAAAATAATAAAAATATATTTAAATATACAAATTCGATTAAGTTCGTGAATTACTCGAGTGAGATGTAAAAATACTTGAATTCGATTTATCTATAAATTAAATTATTCGAGTTTAAACTCGATTTGATAATAATCAATTCGAATTCAAAATTTTATTCGAATCGAATCTAAATAGTTTACGGATATTAATATATTGTTTACATCTTTAGATATGATAAGGTCTTATAAAAATCCAATGGGCCCAGGACACATTAGAGAAGTATTGAACGTGGGGAAGATATAAGGGGACCACAAAATGAAAAGAATCAAAATGTGCCATCGGTTGAAGGGAGAGATGACTCCCAAAGTCAGAAAGGAGAAAAAAAAACACAAGTTGGAAAAGAAAGAAAAACATTGATTCTAGAAGAGATGATACAAAAACAACGAAGAACAGGGAAAGGAAATAAGAGGATAGCAAAAGGAAAAGGGACCATAAGCAAGCTAAAGCCAAGAAGAAGAAAGCTTTGAGGTCTCAGCCCTGGGAGGAGGCCGATAAATTAGACGAAGACATAAGGAGCAGGAATAGAGTACTTAGAAAAGAAGCAGAAACAACATTGAAAGTGGGGAAATTGTTGCGACTATCGGTTAGAGAAGATGAAGAAGAGGTTCTGGAAAAGCTGATGGAGATGGAGGCAACAGAGGAGGAATAAGAAGGTATCTGCTAAACTCCTATTGAACATGTGATTTTGAGTAGAATCAAGGGGTTTTATATAACTCAGAATGAAGATTATTTTGATTAATTTTAGAGGAATTGGAAGATGTGAAAAAAAAAAAAAAAGGAGGGCTTTTAGGAAGCTCATGACAAAAGAAAAGCCAAGTATGATTTTTATACAAGAAACTAAGACCCATAAGGTGACTGGTAGAACCATTAGATAGTTATGGGGAAGGAAAGGAATAAAGTTTGCTAAGAGTGAACCACATGGTGCTACGGAGGGTCTACTATGTATGTGGGCAGAGGAGGATTTCACACTATTATCCTCTACTATTAGGGAGAGGTATATATGGATTAGGGGCAGTTTCACAAACAGAACTGGTACTGTTAATTTGTGCAATGTGTATGCCCCAGTGATGTATATGAAAGGAAATTATTCCTAGAACAATTAGTAGATTTGAAAGCTAGTAATGCAGAAATGTGGTGCTTCGCAGGTGACTTCAATGCAGTGCTAAATGAGGATGAACGAACTAGGATCACAGACATTGCTAGGGTCGTCAACGGATTTTGCAAACTTCATACAAGATGCAGAGCTAATTGATCTCCCCCTAGCTGGCAGAAAATATACGTGGTATAGGAGACGGGCAAGATCCACAATGAACAAATTGGACAGGTTCCTCATCACTCAAGACTGGCTAACGCTCTTCTCATTTATCAATCAATGGAGCCTGGAATGTGCTATATCAGACCATATTCCTATCCGTCTAGGAATTGATATACAGGATTGGGGACCAAAACCATTTAAATTGTTCAATCACTGTGTTGAAAATGAGGAGTTTCACCTATTGGTAGAAAATAAATGGAGGTCATACGAGGTTGAAGGATATGCTAGATATAGGATGGTACAAAAATTTAAACTAATGAAGAGAGATATTAGACAATGGAATGGCCATGAGAAAAGAGATATGGCAGCTTCAATAGAATCACTTAAGAAGAAGATATCATTGCTAGAAGGGAACATGAAGCAAGACCAATGTACAACTGTATCAGTTCTGCTATGTTAAAGAAAAAGAAATACTTTGGAACATGTAGAGAAAGGAAGAACAAATATGGAAACAAAAGGCAAGGGTCAAGTGGATTTAAGAGGAGGATAAAATCACAAAGTACTTCCACTGTATAGCAAGTAGCAGATGGAGAAATTACCTAATGAGCCACATATCTAATGGAGGTAAAAGACTAAACAACCCGAAAGATATTAGAGCAATGACAGAAAATGATTTCCAAAATGTGTTCAGAAAGTTTTTAAAACAAATGTTCTTCTTGGATAATTTGGAACCAAAAAAGTTGAGTGTGACAGAATCCCAGCGGCCTGAAGAACCATTCTCGGAGGAGGAAGTGTGGAATGCAGAAGAAAGGTGTGATGGATGTTATGTTCGTTCGACGAATTTGGAAACGAAAAAAAAAAATAATGTAGTTGTCACAATCTTTTTTGGTTAGGTGTGATTGACCATTTATTAAAACATATCATTTTAATAAAATCTTAAAATTAATTAAAATTTATTAAAAAGATAATTTTAGGGTCTGCACAACAATTTGAGTTCGAGAGTCGATTATGTGTGGGGAAAGATTAGCATCCCTATAATGCCTATTTAAAATGGTACCAATTAATTACGTGTTATCTGTTGATGTTGATAAAAAATCTTATTTTCAGTATTTAAAAATAATTTCTTGATTTTTCATTTATTAGTTTTTTTTATTTTTTATTATTTAGTGCTTCATTTTTATTCAAGAAAATAAATTAGAACCTTTTTATCGAAATAATTCTTAAAATGTTTCAGTACGTTGGTAACATTAGAAGAACATTTTCTCACCTAGAGATTTCTTAAACATCGCTTCTCGGAATACTTTAGAACCTCATTTTGGGAGGCTCAAATTTATTTTTGCAAAAGTTTATTATGCATGCAATGTAAAATGTTGATATGTTGATATGCATGTATTTTATTCTCTTTTTAAAAAATTTTATTGATTTTTATTTTTATTTAAATCTTTGAAGAAAAGAGGAATTTTTATTATATTAAAAATTTTCTATAAATATTCTAATACACTGGTAATATTTAAAAAAAAATCTTCTCACTTGAGGATTTCGTAAAGCATCACTATTCGGAATATTTTTAAAATTTCGTCATTGGATAAAATTTTTGTTTTTCTTATTTATATTATTATTATTTTAATTTATTAATAAAAAAGAAAATTTATACGGTATTGAAAATTTTTATATAAATACTCAATTACACTGGTAGTATTTAAAAAATATCTTTTCACCTAGAGATTTTGTAGGTATCACTACTTGGAGTATCTTTGAATCCCATCGTTCAATAAAAATTTTCTTTTTTTATATTTTTTATTATTTTATAAGATTCATTCTAAAATTAACAAAATTATCCAAAATTTTTATTATATATTTCATCATTTATTTCTGTTAATTATTATTATAAACAACAAAATTTTATTTTAGTAAATTTGAACATTTTAACATGCATAAATGTTAATAATAAAAATTTAAAATAACAAAAATAATACATTAAAAAGATCTAAAAAAAATTCAAAAAAAATTTTTTTTACCTGAATCGGACCGATCAATAGTTCGATCAACGTCAATCTGGATCGATTGGTTCAGAGGTTCGAAGTCGATCTGGTTTAGGTTTAGCGGTTCGGGGACAATTCGATTCAGTTGGGTTGGTTCAACTGGATTAGTCAGAAGCTGGAGAAAAAACGGGTCATCAGGTCGGGTGCGTGGATCTCGGGTCGAATCTTGGGCTAACACATAAATCCTTTACAGTTCAAAACGATGTTGTTTTGACAGTTATTGAAACGATGTCATTTTGATGTTAGGTCTTCTATATAAAAGTTACAATTTTTTAGCTCATTTTCCCTTCTTTCTTAAAAAAAAAAAAAAAAAAACACTCTCCCATTTCTTTTTTCAGACAAAACCAAAGAAGGCTAGCTGGTCGTTGTCACCGCCATCGTCGTTGCCACCACTACTCACCTGCCATCGTCGCCGATGATCGAAAATTTTTCAAAATTCACCCAATACTCCTCATAGCCTCTGGAGTCCATATCTAAGCCTGGTTTTGTGAAAATAAGCTCCAAACAGAGCAAATTTGGCTTGAAAGGTTCGGTCAAATTTTTTTTTTGTGTCTGTGTTATCTTTTTTTTGTTTGGCGCTGTGGTCCTTGTTTCCAAAGGTTGAGTTTTTTTTTTCTAGATTTGTGTTTGTTTGGTTTATTTTATCTTGGGTTTTCGTTTGACAGAAAGTTTTTTTTATTTTTTTTGTGAATCTGGCAGAAATTTTTTTTTTGC